TTAACTCTCTCCCTGGCAGCTTCTATAAGGAAGCGTCACCGTGATCTTGGTCAAAATGTCTCTACCCTTCTCACTCTTAAAGCAAAAACAACCAACCAACCTTCAATAGGTGTTCCATTAGAACTCAAAATGACTTGAAATTGGGCCTGGGGTCAACATGGGAAAAAAAGTACCTGACTCTAGCATATGTTTCTTCATCATCTGCTGCTATCCACGCAATGTCTGCCAGAGTAGGGACTGGAGGTATGTCATTTAAGTACAGATCAGAGACATTTGGCAGAACCTAGGAAGAACATTGAAACACCAAAGTAATTTGTGACTTTGTTCCATTTAACATGTGTGCTACAAGTTCAACATATTGACACATGCAGGCCTTTTTTGCATCAGTACCGTAGCTAAGTCTCAGCTGGAGGAAATTAGTGCAAATTCGTTTGCATAAATGCAAACTCTGTTACAGAATGGTTTATAGACCTGTTATCTTTGCTTTTTTGGAATATGTCCCAGAAAACTAGAATATCAATCTGCAAAAAGTAGATGCTGCAGTACTTAAATTGTTGCTGGAGAGAGACAAACATGTGCAGGTGCCAAATGAGCTCAGCAGGATGGCCCAACTTGTTCTCAAACATACACCAAGGCAAACAATCTTCATTAGCGTGACTTTACAGATTAGGAAAGTAAGGCATGGAGGTTAAGTAATTTCCCAAGGACACTCAGTGAGCTAATGGCTCAGCCAGGAGGTTAGACTCTCAGCCTCCTGGAAGCAGAAACCACCATCCTTCATAAGTGCAGCCATTCTCTTAGGGAACACGTCTGATTTGCAGGTTGCTGTCGATCATTTTAAGATACGCAATTTACAAAAGCCAAGAGGGAAATCAGTCAAAACTCAAACTAAAATGTGTTCCCAAGCATAACCCTGTGGGCTAGATGTCACAGGCAGGGGGGAAACAGTGCAGGAAAAGCACTTCTGGGGCTAGACCAGTGCCTATATCCAGGATCTGGATCTCACATGCTTACCTCAAATGATGCCCTGGGACATGGTTTTAAGGGCAGGTTTGTCCCAATCCTCCTGACTACGCTGCGTGATGAGCCGCAAGGTTTGTTCTGCCAAATTGGGATAGTCTAGGAGTTGAGACAACAGTTTACAAAATCAGATAGTACCTGCAACACACCCAACTTTTGAAGGGACTGTCACCACAGAAAATTAAATCAGAACTATGGCACCTTTATCACCTTTTATTCTTTTCAATGCATCTCATCACAAGTCCCATCAAATGCCACAGGTTTGCTTTCAAATGAGGGTCCTTCCTGGAAATCTGCATTTGAACTTCAGATGTGGGAGGGAACAAGATTGCTCATGTGTAAAGCTAAACACGTGGGTACTTATTTTCCAGGTTTTGGGGGTTAATGGCATTAGTTAATGTATGCGGGCTCAGAGATGAAAGTGTGTGGAAAGGACAGTAGCAGTGCTGTATACTGGATAAAGGAGAAGGAATAAATGAGACCACCACCCCAAGCCAAAACAACTGTACATGGGCACCTGGTCATTCAGGCTAGGAGAATCAACCAGCCAGATTTGAAGCTGGCTACATCACTCCTTGATATTCTGCGGTCTGCAGAAACCAGTGTTCCTTCCCCAACATGCCCGATAGGGGACACATGGGCAGATCTTCATCTTCGAATCGTAGTCCCATTTAAAAGGATATTGTCAGTTTTTAAAGCAGGTTCCCTTGACTGTATTGCTATCACCTCCTTAATAAAGCTGAATGTTTTCAATACTATTTGCAATAGCTATTTACTCTTCCTAGTTTTCATCTGGGGCAATGAAAACAGAGTTGGGAAAAAATAACAGTTAAGTGCCTCCCCCTGACTTTGATAAGGAGCTTGGGATTTGTGCCTCTGCCCATTGTCAGTTTTGTATCCGTTTCTAACTGTTTTCTAGTCAAGTGACAGTTCTCAGGAACCAGCGCAAGGCTTTGGGCAGTGTCCACTTCAGGCAAACTAACAATCTGGATCTGTTCTGTCCAAGCAAAGATTCCTATTCATAACTGACACAAAGTTGTACCTGATCTAACAAAGCCCGTAAGTGACCTCAGCTACCCCGATTAGGTAACAAATAATTTATACATACACAAAATAAAATGAATCACTGGGCTCCGAGACATGAAAACCTAAGCATCATTTGACTAGCAAGCTCCACAAGCTGCTTAATACCCTTGTAATTCAGACAGAATTGCTATAATTTATACGCAGTAAATCCCAATGCATACTACATTCATGCAGCAATAATACCCATCTCTGTAGCTCTTAGACCAGATGATCGGAGCTCGTAGTACTGGGACAGATGGGCAGCCATTTCTCTGACAATAGCTTGTATAGTTTCAGAATTCCCTCACTGTACACAATAAATATTTTTGAAAAGAAACACTGGACTTACTGAATCTGTTGCCATCTCAGATTGTATAGAAGGTTCCCAAACTGGATGTATGAGTAAATCAGAAACAGAAATCGTAGCTCCAAGAAACATGAGGTGGTTTCATATTATTTCCTCTCAGAGAACAAAGACTCTGTCACTGAAAGACACAAGGAGACTTGGATGAGGCTAAGTCCCACATTTTATATTCATCCAGACAAGCAGTTCCCAAACTCTGACAGATCGCGCACCACCTATTTAAAAATATACAACCTTAAGTACCACTGGCAAATTTTTGTCATATAAAGTCATTATAATAGATCTATTATAATTATAATAAACCTGTTCAGGAGACATTACTTTACAGTCAGGGCTGCCAGGCTCTTGGAACGGGCTCCCAAGGGAGGTGGTGCTTGCTCCTACCTTGGGGGTCAAGAGGAGGCTGGGGTGATATGACCAGGGCAGAGGGTTGGATCTGATGGTCTGTTTAGGTCCCTTCGGACCCTAAGAACTAAGGTACTGTGTTAACACATACTGCTGACAGATTGTCTGTGCACCGCCGGCAGTACGTGGATTATAGACTGGGAACCGCCGGTCCGGATGACAGCCGGCCTGCCAAGGCTCCTGCACGTACTCAGAAGCGACCGCCAGACAATACCAAAAGGAGCATTGAACTCCTCCCTCAGGTCAGGGCTGCCCAGGTTCCCCGGCCCCTCTAGCCACATCAGAAGCCCTGTCACCAGATACACGGCTTCCATGATGCTCTAGCCCTGTGCCCACTGCTCGCGCACTTGAGCGACCGGCCCTCACATGCCCGGTGGGCATCAATAAGCAGCAGCCAGAAAACGAGGAAACAACAGGCAGAGAGAGCGGGAGGGAGGGAGGAAGAGAGGGTTTTACTGCACAACCCCCCCTTCTTCAGGGGCCGGACGAGAAGTGGGGCGTGGGAAGAGCGATCCACTTCCCCCTCCTGGTGCTGGCAGGTCGGGATAGATCACAACACAGTTACATTTATAATTAAATATCGTTATATTATTGCGGTCACTCGCAAGCCCCGCGTTCATCGTCATCCAGGTGCACTTGGCTGCCGGAGGAAGCGCGAGTACCGCAGGCCCTTCCGGCCGGGGACGCCGGGCCAGGCCCCACTGAGGGCCGGGGGGCTGTGCCAGGAGCTGGGCCCGACCCCGCGGGCTGGGCCTATGGCCGGGGCCACCCCCCGGGTCCTACCTCACCTGGAGGCCGGAGCAGGCCCGCCTCGCCCTCCTGTCGCCGCTTCCGGGCGGCCATGGGAACGCGACCCGGGAGCAGAACGCGCTGTCACAAGTAGCTTCCGGGAGGCCGGCTCCATCGCTGCGCCTGCGCAACCTCTTCCTTCGGGTGGTGGCGTCATCCCGCAGAAGCAGGGCATGGGGCTGGCCGTTGCCCCGGCGCCACGTGCTGCAGCTCGGCTCTGCCCCGCCGGACCAGAGCAGGGACACGAGGGCGTCGGGCTTCGTACCCACAGAGGACCCCCGGGGCGGTCTTTGAGGACGGCCGCCCCGGGCGCCGAGCCTGCGGTGCTTGAGGACGTGGGAAATGCCCCACACCGGCGGATCGCGCCCCGCACGTTTAAAATGATACCGCCTCAAGCACCGGCCAGCTTTTCCGTTCAGCCTTAAGCGCCACCGCCAGCACATTTTGGTCCTATAAAGTCACGATCATGCATACCCGCCGTCTGCATGCCGCTGGTGGTAGCCGGACCACCAACTGGGCACCACTGCCCTAGCCTGGATGGGACCAGACCAGTGGTGCCCGGTCCTGTAGAGGCTGAAAACGAGAGTTAAAAGCATCAGCTGCCGGAGCCCGAAAGGGAGAGCGACAGGCGGGGCCTGACCCAGGTTTCCCCCGGTTCCTCTCACGTGCAGCCTCGGGCAGTTCAGGCCAAGGATGCTGTAAGGCAGAGGCCGTGCCCCTCGCTCCCCTGCGGCGGACACCCCTTTCCTCCCCCCACTTCGCGAATCTGGCTAGGCTCTCAGCTTCCCCATGTCTGGTGGCACTGAGTCCTGCCCATTCAGCAACGCCACGCGAGAAAGAACCGCCTTGCGCTCGTTTGAAACTTACTAGGTACTCCATTTATTTCGTGACCCCGAGTTCTCGGTGTGCAAGAGAGAGTATAAAAGAGCTGCAACACCCCCACAGCAAAAGAACAGCTGCCTCTCAAGGAAAATCAACTATAAACACAGAGATCCAAAGAGCCCCAGAAGAGGAGGGTACGAGATGTTTTTCCCCTGATGTACAGCTGTCAAACATCAGGCCTGACCCGTTCGTGATTTAAGGTCGGACCATCATGAAGAACAGACGACTGGGGGGTGGGGGGGAAACTTCTCTGCCTTCCTCCTCTTCAGTGGTACTAAAACAGCCTATAAAACCCTATGAACGATGTAGTAAAAATATGAAAAAGTGTTTGGTGCATATTAAAAAAGTGTACGACATGGCTTCACCTCTCGCAACTAGATCAACTGTTACCCAGCAGTAAGTGAACAGTGATTAGGTCTTTCCGGTAGCTTTGCTGTTAGAAGATTAATAGCAGAAACATTTCATTCCTGCTCCGTTGAGACCCACTGAACAGTCCAAACCGCTGGAATAATTTTGTCCATTTCTGAAAATAAAGCCATCCTGAAATGCTTACACTTGTAGTGAAGTGACACATTTTCGTGGAAAAAACTGGCATTCGGGGACACTAGAGGGAGATGTAGCAATGTAAAACAGCCATTCAGGTCATCACAGATCTATTTTTTTTTGGTCCTAATTTGAAGGAGAATGTTTTGGGAACTGGCTACCTTTTGTCAACCCAAAAGTTTGTATGCCCTACCTGTAAGGTTTTGCTCACTAAGCGTATCCTGGAGTTGCCAGCACCACTCCCTGATGACTTACAGTTACTTTCCAGAGGTGCCCGGTGATACCGTAGCACAGCAGTGGGCAGAACACAGGCATTAAGTGATTTACCATCACGCTGGGATGCAGCCCTGATATGATCGCACTGACTGATGGTTACCCCTGCTTCAAATGAGCACTAGTGAGATAGGCAGCAAAATGCAGACTTAAAAACTCGGACTATGGGTACTTCTCTCAGGATTTAACATCAGTCACTGATGACAAAGCCCTGGATCATCTCTCCTTTCATTATATGCGTTTTCACATGGAGATTAAAACAATCTCTGCTCATTCAGACATGGCCCTGCACTTCCCGCTGTCCTAGTTTGCAGCACCAAAACAGAAGTGTAGAATTAATTCCTTGGGACGGTAATATTTACACAGGGAATGGTCTGAAGTCTAAAACCCACCCTTATTTGAATCGAGGGGGAAAAAATAATCAAACGATGAAAATGCTTCCAACGAAGTTCTGTAAAACCCGAAAGGCTGAGTCAAAACAAAGGATAAGGGAATTAGATACCCTGAAATTCCCAGTTTGAGCAACTAGAGCCCCTTTAGCATAAGAGCTACCAAGTGCTTGTCTGGTTCACAGTATTAATAGGTAAAGTGATTTGCATTGTCAGGATCGGATTTTGCTTTGAGGCAATAACACTGTTTACAAACACTGATAATTGGCACAACTGCAAGTCAAAAACCTGCCAGACCTGATCCTGTGACGTCCTTCTACCATTTCAGAGGCCTGCAGAACAGGGTCAACACATTTATAAAGCTAATACTGAGAAACACCCCAACGGTTATTTAACACACTACAGCAGTGGTTCTCAACCTTCTTAGACTC